CAGTCCTATGAGGAAGGTGGGCTCCGTGGACCGAGGAACGTGAGTAATCGCTGCCCTCACACTAACAATAGTCTGGGGAAGAAAACGCAGTTTCATGCCTGGTTTTCAGACCCTCACCTACTTGGGCTGCTCATGAAGTAGCCGGTGGCGCCCGGTGCTGAAAAGGGGCGGAGACAGAGGCCTGTGCTTTCCTTCTCTCTGTCATTTTTAAATGACATTTAACATTGTGTTGTTTCGGCTGTACAGCCTGTGCACTTTTTGTGGTAACTTTCCGACACACATGGGAAGTAGCCACTGAATTCAATATCATGACTTTTCTATGAAGCCACCAAGGCAGTGGTGGCTGCTCTGCTGTTGGACTGCCGCCCACAGTAAGAGGTGGGTCCTACAGCGTGATCCAGGACGCACTCGCAAGCACCTGCACACGCGTGCACGTTTGTAGGTTTCACTGGTTTATGAATCCCCAGAGCCTGGCACATAGTAGGTGCTCAATAGGTACTTATTGAATGAACACGTGATTGAATGAATGAATTTGTGGATATACTATTGACATGAAAGTCTCATGAAACAATGCTTACCTTACTACTTGCATTCTATTTCTTTTCTTAACAGTCTTTATGACCTTTTTTAAAATATTTTTTATTGATTTTAGGAAGAGAGGAAGGGAGAGAGAGAGAGAAACATCGATCGGTTGCCTCCCATGTGCACCCTGACGGGGATTGAACCTGCAACCGGGGCATGTGGCCTGCCCAGGAACTGAAATGGCCACCTTCTGGGGCATGAGATGACGCTCAACCAACTGAGCCACACCGGCCAGAACTGCTTGCATTCTACTTCATGACCAACTAAATTGAGTTTCCTGGTCCATTCATCAGTCACCAACGTTTGAAAACACTGTCATGAAGCCATACTTTTGGCAGGGACGTGGTTTCCGTTCTGAGATACAAGCAAGAGCTCAGCAAATAGATTATCAGCTGCATGTCCAGGGTCACCGACTGCCATCCAGGGACAGAGGGACCCTCACCGGCCACCCTCCTAGACTGAATAGATTCCACGTTTCGAGGTACAACCCCCACTCCTGGCACTGGCGAGGTAGGACAGAACACAAGAGATACCCTCTGCGTCCTGTTCTTTCTATCTGAAAGTCAACATTTTAATTTACCAACATTTGACATATACTTAGACTATTTCTTACGTTTCCACACTGACTCATTACTTTTATGTCAGGGTTTTTCTGATTTGGGTTATAAAGTTCCATTTTATGTGGTTGATTTTGGTTTTGGCTGGGGGAGGTTGTGTACCTAAGGCACAGAAAGTGAGGTGAGTCAATTTCTGAGTTCACAACACCCAGCTTCCTCTGTGGTCTGAGTAAGACCTTTCTCTTGTTTTATTACCTTCGCCCCTGCACCCCAATTCCTCCACTCTCCACAGGCAACCCAAGTGGTGTGTTTACATATACGGCAGTCTCCAAAGATGGCAGCCATCACCTTCTCCCTTCACTGTGTGTGCAAGTCACGCTACCCATCCCTGGTAGAGTCCATTCCCCGAGCCTTGAGTCCAGGCTGACCGTGTGACTAGCTTTGACCAATAGAAAGTGCTTAAAGTCACACTCTGCCTAGCCCAGGGGTGGGCAAACTTTTTGACTCGAGGGCCACAGTGGGTTCTTAAACTGGACCGGAGGGCCGGAACAAAAGCATGGATGGAGTGTTTGTGTGAACTAATATAAATTCAAAGTAAACATCATTACATAAAAGGGTACGGTCTTTTTTTTTTTTTTAGTTTTATTCATTTCAAACGGGCCAGATCCGGCCCACGGGCCGTAGTTTGCCCACGGCTGGCCTAGCCTTTAAGAGACCTGGAAGGTTCAGTTTTCACTCTTGGAAGCCAGACACCATGCTATAAGGAAGTCCACCTATTAGGCGAGAAGTGGGGAGGGGGGGTTCATGGAGAAGCCTGGGCTGGGGGACTGGGCTGGGGCGGTGGGCAGGGGGGGTTAAGACACAATATGGAGAGAAAGAGAGAGGGAGAGAGACCACCCAGAGGAACACCAGGCCCCCAACATGTGAGCAAAGCCTTCTGGGAGCTTCCAGAGCAGCACATCCAATGGCTGGATGCATTCAAGCATATAACATAGCCAATACCACACGGTCCACCTGACCTCGTCCTTTCTGTGTGACTGACTGTATTTGGAGATGAGGCCTTTAAGGAGGTCATTAAGGTTAAATCAGGTCATACGGGTGGGGCCCTAATCCAATAGAGTTGATGTCCTTATAAGAAGAGGGGGAAAAAGAAAAAAGAGAAAAAAAAAAGAAGAGGAAAAGACATCAGGAATGCACACACAGAGGAAAGGCCATGTGAGGACACAGAGAGAAGACAGCTGCTTACAGAGCAGAAAGAGTGGTCTCACTTGGACTTCTCGCTTCCAGAACTACAAAAAAATAAATGTCTGCTGTTTAAGCCACCCATTCTGTGGTATTCTGTCATGGCAGCTCAAGCAAACTAATGCACTTAGGCCAGTGGTTCTCAACCTTCTGGCCCTTTAAATACAGTTCCTCATGTTGTGACCCAACCATAAAATTATTTTCGTTGCTACTTCATAACTGTAATGTTGCTACTGTTAGAATCGTAATGTAAATATCTGATATGCAGGATGGTCTTAGGCGACCCCTGTGAAAGGGTCATTCGACCGCCAAAAGGGTCGCGACCCACAGGTTGAGAACCGCTGACTTAGGTGAAAAACAGCATTTTTAAATAGGACATATGAAAAGATACATCAAGTCAAAAGATGGAAATAAATCAGATAAATGATCCTCTCAAAATAGACTTAACTGCACCAGGCTGGTGTTGTTCAGTGGCTTAGTGTCAACACATGAACCAGGAGGTCACAATTCGATTCCCCATCAGGGCACATGCCCGGGTTGCCAGCTCAGTCCCGGGTAGGGGGTGTGCAGGAGGCAGCAGATCAATTATTTTCTCTCATCATTGCTGTTTCAATCTCCCCCTCCTTCTCCCTTCCTTTCTGAAATCAATAAAAAATATTTTTTAAAAGAAATAGAATCAGCAATAAACAGGGCAAAGTTTTTAAAATATCCTGGATAGTTTATTTGCTAAATGAATGAATCTTGCTTCTACAAAACAAGAGCAGGAAATCACACCAGAGGAACAACTGATAACAGAAGAACCGTTTGGGGGTGTAACATGACGGTGGATAATTTCAAACACGATGGGGTATGTGAAGAGCCAATTGGTAATAACAGGAAACAGAGTCAGTGATGTAGACAGAAATGGTAAATTTCCCCCAAACTCAAAGCTACAGAAAAAAATATTGTGCAGCCATGTTCGTAGCAGCGTTATTCACAATAGCCAAAGGGTGGAAGCAGGCCAAGTGTCCAGTGATGGATGAATGGACAGGCAAAAGGGGCTACCGATGTAATGGAATATTATTCAGCCTTAAAAGGAAGGGAAATCTGCCAGGCCAGTGGCTCAATGGCTGAGTGTCAACCTATGAACCAGAAGATCACGACTCGATTCCCGGTCAGGGCACATACCCGGCTTGCAGGCTCGATCCCCAGTGTGGGGCTGCCAGGCCAGTGGCTCAATGGCTGAGTGTCAACCTATGAACCAGAAGATCACGACTCGATTCCCCGTCAGGGCACATGCCCGGGTTGCAGGCTCGATCCTCAGTGTGGGGCGTGCGGAGGCAGCCGAACAATGATTTTCTCCCATCATTGATGTTTCTCTCTCTTCCTTCCTCTCTGAAATCAGTAAAAAAAAAAAAATTTTAAGAAGGAAATTCTGACACATGCTACAATATAGATAAACCTTAACACGGTTATGTTAAGTAAAATAAGCCAGTCACAAAAAGACAAATCAGGTTATGTTAAGTAAAATAAGCCATTCACAAAAAGACAAATACTGTATGTTCGCATTTATATGAGGTGCCTAGAGTAGTCCAATTCACAGACAGAAGTAGGAGTTGGGGTGGTAAATATAGGGAGTAAACATTTAATGGGTATAGAGTTTCAGGTTAGCAAGATAAAAAAAAAAAGTTCTGGAGATGGGAGGCAGTGATAGTCTCACATATTTATACTTAATGCCATCAAGCAGTACACTTAAAAATGGTCTAAATCAGCAGTTCTTAACCTGTGGGTCGCGACCCCTTTGGGGGTCGAATGACCCTTTCACAGGGGTCGCCTAAGACCATCGGAAAACACATATATAATTACATATTGTTTTTGTGATTAATCACTATGCTTTCATTATGTTCAATTTGTAAAAATGAAAATACATCCTGCATATCAGATAGTTACATGACGATTCCTAACAGTAGCAAAATTACAGTGATGAAGTAGCAACGAAAATAATTTTATGGTTGGGGTCACCACAACATGAGGAACCGTATTAAAGGGTCGCGGCGTTAGGAAGGTTGAGAACCACTGGTCTAAATGGTTACAAAACTGAATATGGAGAACACGTTTCCAGGCTTGGAAAAAAGTTTTGGGAGAAGAATCCAATGAGTTTACCGATGATTTGGGAGAAAAGAATATCTTGAGACTGTGTCCACCCGAGGAGCAGCAGCAGAGCTCCTCAGTGAAGTCCTC